ATGGATTAAATATCATCTCAGGAGGGAGCACTTTTCCAGCACCGGTTCAAGATGTATGACAAAGTAGAACCCCTTTCAGTGATGCTTCCCATTTTGTCTGACTAATTTGACCGGTACCTTCCCTCCTTCAGCTGTTATCAGCAGCCTGTCTGTAGATTATGACTCAGTTCTTTAGCCTCAGAATTCCCAAGCTGCCAAACAATGCCCCAGCCAGGGCCTGTTGGGGGTGGGGTGGGGGTGGGGGTTATCGTTTTACTGATACCACATTTTTTAACTGAAACCTCAGGCCTGGCGTATGTTATATTTTAAAAGGGTGGGGGGTGGGTGGGGAGGGGAGGACAAGATAATTTCCACATTGCCAGAGATGTAGCATGCATTGCCTAAGAGGTCTTGAGGGCGGTGTTCCTTTTAACAAGCAACTTATTATGTGCTGGGGGCTGAGGGCACTGGGGGTGGGAAAGTGGGAAAGGGAAGTCCCAGGCTGTTGCCTAATAGCACACTGGCACCTTGGGAATACTTCCGGATGTGTGGGCTTCTGAAAAGTGAATGGGAATGAGGCCATAAATCTGTCATCCACCCTCACACTGGTGTTACCAACCCCAGGGAAAACGGTAGCTCTACGAAATGGTCAGTGACCATTAAAAACGAAGAAGAAAAGAGAAGAAGGAAAAGAGGAAGGAAGGAGGGAGGGAGGAAGGGAGGAAGGAAGGAAGGAAGGAAGGAAGGAAGGAAGGAAGGAAGGAAGGAAGGGAAATAAATCATTCAGATGGGGAAGCAGTGGCAGAGTAGAAAAAGCAGGGGTTCTTGACTTAGTCTGGAGATGAGATCACACATCTATGAGCCGCGGGACGTTGGGCAAGTTAAGACATCGCTCTAGGTCTCAGATCCCTCATCTAGACATAAGAGACCTCACCTAGGCTCACATTAAACAAAGGTGCATGACACAGGTCATACCACCTAGCGGACATCCATCAATGCTGGTTGTTGCTGATACTCACCCCCGACACACACACACACACACACACACACACACACACACGCGCACACACACACTCACACATACGCGCACACACACAAACACACACTGAGAAAAGTAATAGTTAACGTGCATCAAGCACGCCCAACTTGCTAAGAATGAGGCTAAACCTCATGGCTAGATCTTATGGCAACAATTTTCAGTTAGGATTCTAAGTGACAATCAACAGTAACTTTGGCTAACTTAAGCAAAACAAGCAAACAAACTCTGTTCAAAGAATGCCGGATATTTACGGAAGACTCTCTGGGAGGGCTGGGAAGCCAGGCTCCTGTGCTCTGAAGCCCAATTTCAAGCTCAAGATTAGACCCCAAGACTGGTCATGTGAAGGCATCTCAGAATACTGTCATTTGGTACTTTGAAAATACATGGGTTGTGGCCACTGCCACCATCTTTAGCAAAATGTTTTCTGCAGGGTCCCTAATGTCTTTTGATTCAAAGTGTTGGCTTGGGTGTCTGATGGGGGTTGGGGGCGTGTGTAGGTCTTATGCCCACACTCAGCTACAAGGGGGACTAGGAGAAAAAGATGCTTGGGTTTTCAACTTCCATAGTGGGCTTAGGGATCTTCCTCATTATTATTATAATAAAGAGAGTTCTTTTCTAAATCTAGGGAGGGGATTCAGATAGTAAATATCCAAAAATATTGATAAATAGCCCACAGTGGAGTTCCAGGATTTTTACCATTTTCTGGATGAAAACACTGAAGTTTAGCCAGGGTCATGTGTCTAAACCATGTTATGAACCCAATCAGTCTTCCACAAGTCTGTTATCTTGACCACTGTCTTAACCAATGTAATGATGAGAAGAACACTGTCCATCCACCTCAGCAAAGCCTCCTATCCTCTCATCCCATTTCTCTGACTCATTAAAGCGGGATCTTCGGGGAGCCAAAGAGTCATGTCTATTCGTTAGCTGTTTTTCTTAGAGGAAGATGGTTTTCTAGACTCAAATTCCTTGCTTGGAATTTAGTTCCTAGGAGCTGGGACCTTTGGATAGATTCCCTTCTTCCTGGAATGCCCTGTGTCTCTGTGAGTATCCATCATGGAGTTCTACATGGTGAGAGTGGGGGGGCACAGCTGAGGTCCTTTCCCTAACACAATACACACTCAACATACACGGGTAAGAGTGAACCGTCTCTGGACACCATTCACACCACTGACAGTTCCGTACGCCATTTTATGAATGTGTTCCACAAACTATTCTACGACAGTATGTTCCTCCTTTACCCCACGAAGCCCCACGAAGCCGAGAGCTATCTTTCTGCAAGAGGCGTACCACAGTGCGCTCTTGAGTCAAGGCTCTTTGGATTTGAGTCCCAGTTCCACCATTTAACTGCCTCTCCTTAGTTCACCTACCCGTGCCTCAACTCCCCCTTTTGTAAAAGTAGGACGAGAAAGGTGTTATGAAAATGAGCATTTATAAATGTGCTTGATATAATAATAGGAGTTCAGTAAATATCATCAGCATCATCAGCGGAACACTGAGAATCTAATAGAGAACGACGATATATAGAACGGATCTATGAGGGTCTCTCGCTCTTGGTAACTCTCTCATCTTCATTCCTTTCCTCTTAAGCATTTCAGTGAACACAGTTTGAAAACCACCAATCGAATCCAAGTCAGTTATTTTGGCCAAAGTATACATGGGGACGTGAGGCCCAAGGAGGTCAGGCTAGCGAGGGCTGCACTCGCTGTCCAGTGCTATTTCTAACAGGGTCACCCGGACACCACCACTGATTGCTTAAAATTCAGTTCCTTTTCTAAGAAATGGTGAACCATGTCATAATTTTCACTTCCTCTCTACACCAGTCTCCAACCACCAAGAACGTCAAAGACTCCAGATCCATGCGCCAGGGGTCAGCAAGTGTGGTCAGCAAAGGGCCAGGCAGCAAATATTTTAGGCTCTTTGGCCCATAGGGTCTCTGTTGCAACCGCTGAATTCTGTTGTTGTAGCAGAGACGCAGCCACAGACAATGTGTCAAGGAATGGGTGTACTGTGTTCCAGTAAGACTTTATTTACAGATCTAGGCAGCAGGTCAGTTCTGGCGCACGGGAGGTAGTGTGCAGAGCCCTTCCATGGATAACGAGCCACCTGTGAGGGGCCCCCTTATTTTTGTTTATTTCCGCATAGTGCTGAAGTGACATAGGACATGGATGTCAGGACCCAAGCGCCTCTTTGAAGGTACCATAGCCTACCTTCATTACATCCTACCTTCTTCCCAGAGGCACTTAAGTCACATGCCACCTTAGTGCAAATAAAACAGGAAGATATTTTCCCGCATGGTCTGAGAGCAATTGGGGGTGTCATGAGGAAGCCGGCAAAGGTACGGGTTTGGTTTAAGTAGAGCTCTTGATAATGAGAAATAACAATACACCTTGCAAATCACACACTAGAAGTGCAGGTGAGGCTCTTAAAAACAAATTAACCCAATCCTTTCCATTTACTGGAGGTAAGCTGAGGCCCAGGCCAGGGAAGCAACTTGATCAGCTTTATGCAGCAAGTTCTCAGCACAGCTGGGACCGGAGCCTGCATTTCTTCATTTTAGTCCAAGGCTCTTTCCATCACACCGCTAGGCTAATATCAAGCTTCTATTATAGATAGACCATGATGAAATCAACAGAGGAGAGAGAGAGAAGGAGGGAGGGAGGGAGAGAGAGAGAGAGAGAGAGAGAGAGAGAGAGAGAGAGAGAAAAGAAACCTTCTGCCATTTAGAAATCCAAGGCCATGTCTAGAAATGCCAGTCCTCCCTCCCTCCTCACCTTCCTTTCTTCCATCCACCAACAGTGGCTGGACACCCCTGCTGCGTTGCTCAGCCCCTACTTGATGCCAAGGAGAGAATAGGTGCTCAATAACTGTGTGCTGAGGATGGAATAAAAGGTGAATGATGCCTGGTAAAGACCCCATGGAGCTCACAACGTACCGTGAGAAGGCCTCTACGCTCCCCTGTAATGCACTGCCAATGTGAGGACCCGATGACATTTCCTCCCTGTCAGTCCTAGAAAACTGGCTTTTCAGGGAGAAATCTTCCCACCAACGTTTTCCTTCCCCTTGTAGCTGCCCCTTCCCTCTTCAGAGAGAGCACCTCTGTCTTTTGTACTTGCAAATGAATTGTGATTAGTTTGCACCTCCAGCCCAGGGGATTAGCCTGGGGACCTTTGATCTTCAGGTATCGATTTGCATCTTAAAGGAAGTATGATCTCATCTGGGCCAGCTCAAAATTCCATCCCTGTCTGTTTACCAGCCCCAGGCTGGCCAGGGCCTCCCAAGTGGGGCTGAAACAACTACACCAGCCAGACTCCGCGAGAAGGCAGAGGAAAACAAATTTCTCAGCTGACTCAGTGAAGGTGGGAAAAGGACATTTGATTTCTAAACACAGGCTGGTCTGCTCTCGCCCTTCCTCAAGTCAAGGAGACTGCCCAAGGTTGTGAGCGCGCAGTGGGGACCATGGGGGTCCGGGATCCTATAGGAGGTTGTGCCACAAAATGAACTGAGCATGTGCTTGAGGCTCAGACAAAATGAGGTTCAAGTCCTGGTTCTCTCTTCAGTCACGTCTAGCCTGTGTGATGCTGGGCAAGTTTTATAATCTCTCTAGCCTTTGATTTTTCTCATCTCTCAAGTAAGAATAAAAGCCTTAAAAATCTATACTGATAACCATCCTGGAGAGTTGGTCTGCAGAAATATGATAATGTGTATAAGGTAAAGTTAGATCAAAAAAGAGTTACCAGCCATCGCTGTCATCTAGAACATACGCTCCAGAAGAGCAGGAATATCTGCCCTTTATATATTTCCACTGCTGTGCTCCCTGGTGCCTAGAACAGTGCCTGGTCCATGGGAGGCGCTCCATACACATTTGTAATATAAAGAAATGCATCATCATTTAGTCATACTTATTGCTGTTATTGTAATTGTGAAACTATTCCTCACTGTCCAAGCCTCCAGCCAGGCCCAGGGAATGACAAAGACTTACCGATGCAATTGAAGGAAACTTCCTGTCTGCAGAAAAGGGAGCAGCCATCACCATTGATCTTATTCATGTCATCACATTCTTCACCTTGGCTTCTGCAGAACGGATATAGAAATGCGTCACATCAGCTTCGGAACCACATCTGGACATGGACAAGTCCCTCCCTGGGCTGTGAACTTTCCGTGAGGCCTCGGGCAAGTCCCTTTCCCTTGGTCAGTCCGTTTCTTCATCCCCAAAATACGATGACTAAAACGTATCAATTCATAAGGTTCCCACCACATTTGCCTTGTTTTGTGTTTCTGATGACAACGTAGAACGTCTGCTTCACACTCATTCTCTGAGGTCGTGTCGGTTAAGTTAGCGAGTCAGATGGGAATAAGAAATGGATGAATGAGTGAACAGACCTTGCTGCACTGGGTCTGGAAAACGTCACTGCCGTTTTAAAATGGTGGATTTAAAAGAAACTTCGGCATTTCTGAAATATAAATGCTGTTCTTCACTACGCCCTGACTGAACCTCCTCCCTACTTTCCCGGCTCTTAAAGGTCAAGATTTTTTCCATCCACATGGCTCAGGTTGGGTCTTCCTTTTATCAGAAAGTTTTGCCATCTCCGTTGGGTGTGTCATTCCATGGTGTTAAGAACTCCTAGGCCTGTGGAACTATGTTTCTAGGAAATAAAAATGCCTCCTCTTGTTTATTTTAGGAATTATTTTCATCACCTAAGAATGATTCTGCAGAGGTTAGGATGGGCAGGAAATGAGCAATGCTCTCTGAATTGGACCTAGTAGATGAGAAGGAGGAATAATAATTGAAGCATTGGCTGGATTGCTGCTTTCTGAAAAAATTCTCATCCTTTTAGAAAAATAAAACTTGATCCCCCTGGTCCAAATTACCCATGTGATCTCTGACAAGTCCCTTGATCTCTCTGTCCAATCCTTCAATCTTTGACAATTTAGATCAATGAAAATTAACAATAATTTAAAATTCCACTTCTCAGTCATAGTAGCCACATTTCAAGTCCTCAGTAGCCAGATGTAGCTAGTGGCTAATGTACTGGACACTGCAGAATATATGTCCATCATTCATCCATCACCGCAGGAAAATCCACTGCACAGTGTCATTCTAGATGCTGAGTCTCACTTTTCTCATGGGTTAAAATGGAGACAATCATACCCTCTCCTTAGAGTAGGTGCAAAAATGAAATGTGACTTAATGTGATTGGCATGGTGTGTGACATTCAATGTGATTGGCACACTGTGTGATGCATAGTAGATGCTCAGGGAATCCTAGTTCCCATTCCCACTTACTTTGTCCTGGGAGGTCTCTGCGAAGTGTGTGGCAGCTGTCCCTCCCTCCCCAGAGACCAGCTGGGATCTGTCACAGCATGGAAGAGGCCTCAGACTTTTCCTTTCACCCAGGGCAATTAACACTGGGAAATGTTTGTTGCTTTTAGGAGGTGTCAGGGTAGCGGGATGGTTCCTGGCAATCAATCCTTAGGACATTGCATTGATCTCTGATGAGCCACCCAAGTTCTCCCCTGTCTGCAAACCCATGAGTAAAGGAGAGTCCAAATTCTAAGCTGCGCCCATATTCCAATCTCTGCCAGTAAATCTTGTATGTTGGAAATTCGTGATGGCCTTGTGCTCCTTAGCTATTTCATGGGTTATCTGGGGAGAGATTTTTTTTTTTTTTTAACCTGGGCTGGGTTCCCTAAGCCACAAAGAACACTTCTAATCCGCCTTCGCTCACCACCCAAACAGTATGTTCTATTGGTTCAAGCCAAACATTAGGGTCACCACAAATATCTTCTAGGCATGACAGATCTATCATTTGATAGAGAGGTTCTGAGAAACCTCCTTTGACCTCCCAGGCTGGAATGAGTCCTCACCTTCTCTGTGTCCAAAGACACCGGGCTCCATCTATCACAGCACTTATCAAACTGACTGCCTTTGTCTGTTACTTGACAGCCCCCTATATGAGGCTTTCAGATGCCAAAGGAAGTGACAGAGTGTTTGTCATCCTAGCACCCCAGTGCCTGGCACAGTGCCTGAGACATAGCAGGGAGCACATAGCTACCTCTTCACCTGTTTGCTTTGCACAGCTGTCAGTCACACAATGAGGCAATGGTGACTCCAGATGAGAACCTAAGCCCTGGCCTCACATCTTGGTTCTGCTCCTCACTGGGTGTGTCAGCTTGAGAAAACCATTTTAATCTTTGTGTGTTCGTTGTCTCTTTTGTAAAGTGTGGCACTAGGACCTATCTCATGTGGTTGTTGGCAGAACCCAAGGAGATGGATGGTGTAGCACAGTGCCCCATGCATAGCAGGTGTTCAATAAATATTTATGAACATTGTTATCATTATCATAATATTCATCCAGTGTTTCCATCCATTAAGGGCCTCACTAAGTGTTGAGTCTATCTGCATAAGATGTCATCTCCCTTTTCTTTAAAGTTGTGGGTTTTTTTTGTTTTTGTTTTGGGGTGTTTGTTTGTTTTTGCTTAGGGAACCATTCATAAGCTGCATTCAGTTTCTATAAAGCATGTCAATAGTTATTTGGTAACTCCTGGTAACGTAAGTGTTTGATGTCTCTGCAGGAACCAATTCTGAGTAAAAACACTAAAAAAAAAAACTAAGTTAAGAATACTATTTAAATTAATAATAATAATAATGAAGTTTTAGATCAGCGAAAAGAATGACATTGTTGGCAGTGTCAATGCGTCTATATCTGGCTCCAAAAGGGACAGTTGTTGTGAGTTTCCCTTTTTATTCTTTGTGCTAAATTAGAAAATCCCAAATCACAATTATGGGTTGTCAGCCATGACCGCAAGTGTTTCCTGGATATCTTGGATACACTGCTCCATCTTGGGATCCACAAATGATGGGGCATTTTCCCTGGAGGCTGCCTTGCTCAGTCCTCAGGGTCCCATCACACAACATCTGCATCAAAAGCGGGGTTGATGTTTAATGTGGGAGAGTACAGCGAACAGCTTCCCTTTCCCCAGTTTTATTACAGTAAATATCGGAAACTATATCTTCATGTCTGGTTGCTGCATTTGGACAGTGAACTTAAATACACCTAATAGCACACCATCGATTTCACCCTCTGACAAGTGAGGGGCTCTATCGTCCATGCTTGACGGTCAGCTGGGTTGGCAGTCAGGTGTTTTGCACCCTGATTCAACACTTAGAAATTTTTATATTACCTACTCAATATTAAAATTTTGACAACTCAGCTTTGAAATCATAGTTGCAGGGCCTTTAACATATGAATATAGACCCCTGAGACACACCACTTCAGCAAGCTGCTTGAAATCGTGCAAAAAATCAGTAGTGGCCATATCGGTGTCAACATTTAAAATAAAAAATGTCATTCCTTACTTCAAAAACTTGAATTAGTACCTTTCTTGTAACAGCGGAGGCACTTGTGTGTGCGCACGCGCGTGCGTGCGTGCGTGGCAGGGGACTACCATCTTTTTGCACAGCAAGTTGAAAAGCTGTAATTCACTGGCCCTCATCTGATGCCCATTGCAACACAACACTCAGGATTCACTTAAATGCTCACGTCCAGTCAGAAGTAAACTGCTGGCCAGTACCTGATATCTGTGCGGACGGGCGTTCATGTGCAAACTCTTTACATGCATAACTGTGTCATCCTCGCTGTGCTGCTCGCTGGTCCTTTCATCCCACTGCAGGTTTCCAGTTTATATTCATTACATACTACAAAATCATCAGGGCCCAATTCAATCGCTCTTGCCCTCCAGCACTAGTGTCAATGATGAGCTGAAAGAAAGTCGTCTAGCGCTTCTCTTTCATATATGTCTACACCTATGGGCCGATTCCTGTCCGGTACATCAGCGGTTTCTTTCAACCGTGAAATACATTCTCTTTACGGAACCCCTCCCCCTACAGAAATAGTCATTGCGATTCCATGTTGCACAGATATTATGTGACACCCAACAGTGCCATTTAATGAAGGAATTTTGCCAATAGCTTGTTTTGCCATCTCTGCGCATAATGTTTATCATTAAATGTGCCAATAGTTTTAAAAGTCTCTTAGCAAGAGTGTGACTTACAATAAGGAACCCAACTTTAGCAATAAGGAACTTAATTGTGAATGATTTTTGGTCTCTTTTTCACCTCGAGAGACAAAACTATTAGATTTTGTGCCAGAAAAAATTTTTGTGCTTATTCTGGATGAAAACACTCAGTTTTACTTTTTTTCTTTTTTTTTTTAAACAATGCAAAAGTCTTGATGGCTTCTTGCCCCTATTTTGCGGTTGCATAACATCTTGCCCTGTGGACAAGGGGATGAATGGACTGATGATCCAATTAAATCCATTTCTTAGACATGCAGCTTTATATTTTCTAATCACACTTTTCCTTTTGGCTGCTCGTGTGGCATTTTTACACTTACTGATGAATTTGCCTCCCTGTACTTATATTCATATGCAATAGTCACTCTGGAGTATTGTTTACTTTTTACGATTTCAACATTATAGTGAGTGAGACTATTTTGCTATTTTTATGAGCCTTTGGCCCATTTTGTAAATTGTTGATATAACATGAGACAACAGAAATAAATAAATATGCAATTTTTAACAGATGTAAATGGTAACCAGCAAAGAATGTAAAAATGTTTTGACCTAGATGCACTGTGACCTGTTAACTGAAATTGGGCCGGGATGGAAAAGACTAATAGGATCCTTGTGGTGTACATAAATCAACTAAGAACAAGTGCATACGGGTAGTAAGCGCATAATGGTAGCTCTGTCGAAATCATATATTGTATTGCCTACTGGAGAAATGTATGTGTTCACAAAAGAATCATTACTTTTCTTCTGAGACCAGCAAACTGCTGGCAGACACATTGATAGACTGCTGGGGCCTGTTGGTAACTCACAGCTCACACGTTGAAGAGTATCCCAATAAGCTCTTCTCCTGTATTCAGCATCTCTTGGCCTAATTAGCACCACCCCTTCCCCCTTTTTTTTTTGAGTGAAATCTGCTTACTTCTGGATAATGCCATCACCACAGTACCCACTCCCATGGATGTACGTGGCAGCAGGTGATGGCTCACTCTCTTCACTTCCCGAAACGGTGATGACCCAGTATTGGTACACACTGCCAAGATTTAGGTCCCTGGAAAACATAAAGAAGACCATTAGCTATACAGACACAATGTGGGGAGCGGACAATTGATCCCCCTTGAGTACATTCGACCAGTCTTGCTTACTTTTGAAACCCCATGCACCTTCAGTTATCCAGTCATTTTGACTGTCTACTGTGGTTGAGGTGCTCTCTTAGGCATGAGAGACTACACGAAAATGCAAGGATTACAACTAGCATCAACTGACAGATGGCCATGAGTACAATTAGGCACTTTTTATTTTAATGTAATCTTTACACTAACCCTGGTGGGTAAGGATCAGATGGTAGATGGCCCATAATGAAGGTGTTTGGGAGAATGCCATCTAGGAAAAACAAATGGGATAAGCAAAGGTACAGTGGCAGGTAAGTGCCAGGGTCGATTCTGTGGGCATTGTCTGATCATGTCCCCTCGTTTTAAGACCTGACTAGAAACCCCACCACACGCGAGCAAGTCCTTTCCTTATGCTGCACATCCAGTCATTTCCTTCTTCCCCACCATTTGTTCCTCCCTGTCTCTCACTCTTGACTGAAATAATAATAGCAGCATCCATTAATTGAATGTCAGGCCCGGGGCTAAGCAATTTCCATGTATTTTCTCATTTGAGACTCAAAACCACCTTAGATGTGTACTAGTCTTTTCATGTTTATTTCACCAATGATGAATCTGAGGCAGACAGAGGTTAAGTATCTTGCTTACAATCATAGGCTATTAAATGACATCCTCCACTTTGCTTCCTAATCCCTGGCTTAGGCCTGTTTCAATAATCTCATCCCTGGCAAAGGGGAATCTTGCCCCAGAATTGCCATTCCGGGCACTGGCTCCTGCCAGATTTCCAATTGGTCTATTGGGTCATGGGAAAAGTCATGACATATTTTTCTATGTTTTTTGTTACAAAAAGGCATCATGACTTTTCCGACGACCCAATAGATTGCCTCTCTCCTCCGCTGTCAAGACCTCCTAGTTTAATGCCTGTTCTGACTTCCTTACACTCAACCTTATACCAGATTACCTCCCTCCCTCAGTCGCCTCCCTGCTTGAATTCATCTTGCCATCGAACAAACCTAGCTACTGGCAATAATCCTCCAAGGCACAGATATATTTACGCCAATTCCACATGACCAAATCACCATCCCCGTTTCCTTCTTGACCATTTCCAAAGAAAGATGTTATCCCTCTCCTTCATCTCTCTCCGCATCAATTATTCACTTTTTAATAATAAAAAAGTGCCATGGGAAAAAAGAATACAAAAGATAATGAACAGGATTCCTATCAGATTCCCGAGTTGAGGGGGATTTCATTAACAAAAGGACAATGTCAAAAAAATCTCAAGTTCTCCTGCCCATCTTTTGTTTCAGATGTTGTTAGGGCTGGGACTATTAGGATAAGGTCAGTAAGATAACAACAGGTGCAGGGGCAATGGACAGACAATGTCTCCTGACTCTCAACACAGCAATGAGCTGGAGTTTGTAAGCGCTGAAGGATCTGGTGAGAAATACTGCCTTCCTGAGAATACTGGGCTTATTACCCAAAACAGGGTTTGTTTGAGCAGGGCTGGAGCAGATAGTAATGTTCGGGGTAGACCAGAAGTCCCTGAAGATTCCATTAGTGAGTGCTCTGTCAAAGAAAACTAAGTAGGGGAGATACATACAAATCTTGAGATTTGTACGGGTGAATGTATGGAATGCTAATTTGTTGCTATAATTATATACTTTCTTTTTTTCTTTTCTTTCTTTTTTCCCCCCAGCGTACTGGGTAGTGTATCCACCTCTAGACTTATTGTATAAATGTGTATTTTTTTCTAGTGGTGCTTCTAAAACTGGAATACTGTGGTGGGGGAAAGGTTGTTTTTTCTCAGGGGATACATGAAGGCACAGGATAAAGAGGCATGTATTCTGTACTTCATTCATTTTGCTCTAAAATACGGAGGCATGTTTTATATTAAATAAATATGGCCCTATGATAGAATAAAATAAGAAATTTTCTTCGGGCTACCTCCCAGGCCACTGGGGGTACATGGTCACTATCTGAAGCAGATGGAGAACTTCTGTGAAAATGCATGAATGTGAAAACTACTTCTCTTCCTTGTGTCTTTCATTTGTGCTATGTATCACAAAGCATTCATGGTTGACAATATTTAAGGTGCTCTGATAATATTTGTAAATGTTTTCCTCCTCCCCCATTCCTGGTCCTCCCTCTTCTCCTCTTCCTCCTCCTCCTCCTCCTCAATAAACACAACTTTCAGGCAAGCAAACATGTGTCTCTATCCTGACTTCATCCCTTACTAGCTGAACAGTCACAGGTAGGGGTTTCACCGCTCTGAGCCTATTTCAAAGTAGTCATAAGCCTGACCTCACAACATTTTCCTACAGGTTAAACATAAGAGCATAGATAAAGCACATATGTGTCCAGCCTATGAGAAATTGTTAATCAATATCAATCCATTGCTATGAATGCTTAATTATCAATATTCTCATTCACCGGAGGTGCACTATGTTCTCTTTACTAGAAGAAATGGGGTAAAGATAATTACAGGTAACCTTGGTTAGGTAAACCCATGAAGATTGAGCCACCCTCTCTTGTGTGTGTTATAGCTTAACAGAACGTCTCTTTTCTATTACATCATTTGGCTAGAACACCCTCAGTGCTTGCAGCCTGCTCTCTCTCCAGGTGGCTATTCCAACTTGTGAAAATTCTGGATCTCAGAACGGGTTGTCTCTACCCTGGGGCTAAATCTGTCTCCCAATAACTCCCACCCACTGTCCTCCTTCTTACCCACTAGCATCACATGGCACACCTCTGATTGGTAGAGAAACCTTAATGGCCCTCCTTTTTCCAACTGTGTGCGCATGGCTCGTGTATCATTATCTCAGGGAAGCCTGACAGCAGCTCTGGAGGAGGGGCTGGAATCCCACACTTTCAGACAGGAAAATAGAAGCCCAAGTCGCTCCATAAGAAGGTAGGGAAGAGGTAATAGGGTACAACTGTTATTAAAAAAAGATTATGCTTTTCTACTGAGGAATTTTGTCATAAAACTACATTTTCTCCAAGTTAAAGTAAAAATTAATGCTAAAGATGGACTCTTTTCTCACGAACCTAGGTAGGACAGAATTCTCTCAGGACAAGCTAGTGGCTTCAGAAGGCTTTGCTGGAGGTTAGGATTTATTTCATGGTTGGTCTAAAAGTAGGGCATTTATTTCAAGTTGTTCCTTTCAGCTCCTCCTAAAAACATCTGGAAAGTCTTCCACTGTCACTCGAACTCCTTCTCCTGCTGTGCCTCCCACATCCAGGCAGGCCTTCAACCCTGTCAATTCTTCCCATCCCAAAGCTTCCACATCACTCCCTCTGCACCCCTGCTGCCCCCAACATCTCAGCCTTGATGGCTGAAGCAGCCCCTGGCTCGCCCTCCTGCCTCCAGCATCTCCCGTTTCCAGTCCTGCCAACCCCAGGAGAATATTCTTAGATCCAAAGCCACTCTCCTGCTGAAAATCTTAGTGAGTGCAGTGCTGAGCAAGCTACCAAGCTGAAAAAACTTCCTACTTACTCATTGTTTGTAACTAAAATTTTACCACTTCACTTGAAGCATGATTAGCTTCATCACTTCCGATTTTCATAGAATTCTGAGTGCCATTTTAAATTTAAAGGAAAAAAAAAAGCGAGCCTCCATTAGTGTTTAATCATTCATTTTCAAACTGCAACTCAGATTAATTTCATGTTTCTAGCTAATAAATTTGAATTGCAATATTTAAATGTGATGAGATCATTTGGCTGGTCTTGAAGGGTTGTTTTGTGCATCCTTTGTATGATTTAAAAAAAATATTTTTCAAGATTTAGTCATTGTTATTTCAAAAATGTCTCAAATGACATACCTGCCTTAGGTTTGCATTTCTGGCAATTAGAAACAAAAATACTGAAGTTCTTAACTGGTATGATATTTCAGTAATCCTCCTCAGAAACATCATATTGATAGCAACGTGTATCAAATTTGAGTGCAATCTTATAGTAAAATTTAGTTACAGACTGTAAAATCTTAAGAGTACACACACACACACACATACACACACACACACACACACACGTGCGCGCGCATGCAGGCTAAGCACCTATGACTTAGCTTTCGGTAAAAATCCATGTTTCTTAAAGTGTTGGTGTACAGTTAATATGGTAGATCAATTAAAACCCATCTGAAATCTGCAGACGAGTCACTTCACATCTTTGGCTCTGTTTTTCTACGTTTTAATTAGAATATGTGTTTCTTGTTCCATACCAATGTAAAGATAAAATAAGAAATATGAAAGTACAATAGGAGAAAAGAGGGAGAAACAGTCTGATTGCACGATGGAAACATCCCACTTTTTTTCTCCCAGGAAGCCCTCTCCGAGCCTCGTGATTATGCCTTATTGGGCTCTTCCTGTTTGCATATCACAGCATTCATCTATCACACTCCACCTCTCCAAAGAGTCTGTGCAACTAGACTGTGTTATACATCTTTGAAACGCCTTCTGCAATAAAAATAACAACTGTAGTTTCTATTTATTGACTACCATATGCCAGAGACTATGTCTAATACTTTCTATGAATAATCTCATTTAATCAAAACAACAGTCCCTTGAATAATTATCATCCTCTCCCTTTTCAGGTGAAGAAACTAATACTTAGGGAAGTTAAGCTACTGCTCATAGTCACACTGCTTTGTTATGGGGCAAGGACTTGAGCCAGATCTACCTAACTTCTTCCCAAGACAGTGCTCTCTGGAGGTGGAAGCTGTTATGAACTCAAAAAATACAGAAGAACAGAAGTTACAATACCTAGTTTTGAACCAAATAAAGTCAGCATTCTAAGGCCAGTTGGAAAGTTCTAGAAGTCAAGAGCAACACACATTCTCTTAAACACTACCACAGCCATTTCCCCTCTCTAACCATCCATTTCTTCATCTGTCTATGAAATGGGAATCTGGGAAGTATGTGATGATCAGCTCAGCAATCCATAGTTC